CGTACAAACAAGACGCATCAGTCTGGGGCTACACAGCCGCGTGCTGCTGCTCCTGCCCGTTAAGTCCTTACGTCAAAAAACTGGAGAGCGCTGGACATCTCTCTGAAAGCCAGAAATCTGTCTCAGTGTGGTGCTCACACTTTTATCCTTATGCACACGAGTCACAGGATTTGCTGTGACAGCTCATGATTCCAGATGATCAGCTTTAATCTGCTCATCATGGATGGAGGTGGATTTACTGCTGTATATTAAAATCTGCAGTATCTTTGACATAGGGACATTTCTATGGCACATTAAGTTTTTATTTTATTATTTTGTTCTGTTCATTCCAGAGGATCCCAAAGAACTTTACATACAGTATAGGAGGGAACCACTGAAGTGCAGACTGAAATGGGAGACGCACAGCAGCCATTCTGCTCCAGCAGCCCCACCTGGGAGACGCACAGCGGCCATTCTGCACCAGCAGCCCCACCTGGGAGATGCACAGTGGCCATTCTGCACCAACAGCCCCACCTGGGAGATGCACAGTGGCCATTCTGCACCAGCAGCCCAAGCTGGGAGACACACAGCGGCCATTCTGCGCCAGCAGCCCCACCTGGGAGATGCACAGCGGCCATTCTGCACACAGCAGGTCAGTAGGGAGCCATGAGAAATTCCTATGTCAATTAAATAAAGAGGCAATGTGAGATAGGCCACAATTTAAAATTCCAGAAAAGGGTGGCGTAAAAAACAGGGACTAGCAGCTGTTACTCATGAATCGATCCACAGGATCTTTAATAACCGAGAAGTCAGTTGCTCTGTTTAACGTTCTATCTGACCAACAGCATGTTGCCCTTGATCTCCATCCTGGGGGTGTTAGTTAAGGCATTCCAGAGGCCCAGAAGGAAGTCCGCCACCTACTGGTCCACCAATACCACTTGTCCACTGCTGTCCATCCTTCCATTCTCTAACAGCTTCTTTTAATTCAGGGTTGTGGTGGAGCCAGAGCATACGGGCAACGGGCACAAAGCAGGGTATACCCTGTACAGGACACCAGTCCATCACAGGGCAGAGCACCATTTACAGCAGCAATCTAATTTTACTATAGATCTCCCATCCCTGGGACACTGGCCCTGGGCCCAGCCCTGTTCCCGAGATCTGATGAGATCAAGCTGCTAGGTCAATCGGATTGCTGTTGCGGCATACTGTAGACTGTATCAGCTGGACTGATACAGCAGGGGCCAGCAGGGGGTGCTCACCCTGCAGTCCGTGTGGGTCCTAATGCCCCAGTATAGTGACGGGGACACTATACTGTAAACAGGC